CAATTGTACATGGGGTGAGCTCCGCGATAGAGCTGGTGTTATGGGTTTTGTGAGATTCCAGCGAAGATGTTTACCCAGTAAAATCCTTCCTGACTCCTCCGCTTGCCTTCAATGAATTTTATAAGGATCTGAAAGGGCGTCCGAAGGACTTAATTTTCTACTTGTTTAAGTAATTTTTCAAATAGAAAATCTAATAAAAACGTGTATACCAGTTATAAGCCATACACGAATGCACAAACCGTGCATAAACAAAGCAAACTTTAAAATTTTACGGTTAGTTCGAGCAGAAAGTTTGGGTTTGATAACAGGTTATTGACGTCATGGACCCAAATGGTTCCTTGATAAGATGATTTTGCGATGAGAATCGTAATATTTCTCACTTTTGCAACGATGCCAGTGTTTCCAGTTTGGTGGAAACCAACCCGACCAGAAACGGTGGTGAAAGCGGTCCGTCGTTAAACGCGTTTAATTTCGGCGTTTAAATAAACTTAGTTTCGTCAAACTGCGTTTCGCTTGTTTCTGATGAAATTGGGCCTAAAAGTAGGTGGATCTATTTTGACGATTTTCGATGGTCTATAGAATTCGGGTTGTTTTCCAAATTAAGCTCACACTCGCACGCTCACACCCGACTAATTTTAAGAAACGATTCGTTCTACGAAATTTCAGCGGTCAGAATCTAGCATCTCTCAGGGTGACTTGGTCCAGACCAAGATTATAACCAGACTTTGCGGCTTGTATTTGATGTAGCTGCTTTTGCGAAGTTTACAATAAGATTTCTACAAAATTTAACCCTTTAAAAGGAATGACGCCAATTTTGAATCACCCTGTATTTGTAGTATACATTTACTTTTTATTCGTAGCAAGCTCCCATTCCACTGTTTCCAAAACTAATTACACGAACATTATCTATTTGTAGATACGTGCAGAATAAATAACGAATAGGAGGTAGCGTGCCGCGTCAATCAAATGTTCATTGGTCGTGACTGATGTCCGCTTCCGGAAGAAACGGCCCTGCGCCCATTTTCCTGACCCGCTTCATGTTGGGGGCTCGTATTCAAAATAGGAAATGACGACCCTTTATGCTTGCTCAAAGACCGAAAATGGTGTTGTTGCAGACAAACGGGGATTTTATACAAATTGAACAATTTACATTTTAGCCCTTCTGTATGTGCGATTGATAATAATTTAGGAAACGTGTACGCCCCAGTTTCGTCTTCGTCTTCAATTCTTGGTTTCGTTCATTCTGCATACTTTTCTGCAGGATATATTTTTTTGCCACTTTCAATGTGATTGGTCCTTTAAAAGTGATAAATTACGGTTGATAGGGTATTTATAATATACAGAATGCTTTTTGCGCCTAAACTGCTTATGTATAAAGTAACTAAAACCATAATATCAAGGTTTAAAAAACAACTTGAACTTTGCTACATACGAGTACATAAATGTTCATCCGTTCATAGGGAAATCGTTATAATATAGCATATCCGATTATGCTGCTCAGAAGTTAACACTATTGCGGTGAGTCTTGATTCATTATTTGTTGGTGAAATGCTTTGAAATCGCTACTTCTTTCAAAGATGCTTTAGCACAGAAATTTAGATAAATATTAATTTGGATGGAAAAATATTACAGTCGTTTTGAAACGTCTGGCAAAGTTCGGTTTACCTCAATTGCATCGGCACTATTTGGCGCAAGCCATATGCACCTTATTTATTATTTGGTTATTAAGTGTGTAATGTGTAGTTTT